GAACCTGTCCTAGAAACTTCATTCCAAATCCTATATTTCTACAGGTACGCCAATTCATCACAAAATGCTCTAAAAATCAATTTTCTAGAGCAATTCTGAGCCGAGTTGTGGTCATTTGAAGTTTTGAAGAGAGACGCAGACTACGAGAGCGCTCTCGTTGTCTGCGTCTCTTTTAAACACTTGGAACTGCTACAACTCGGCTCAAAATAGTCGTAGAGAGTTGATTTTTGGTTTACGGTCTCATTTTGGCGCTAAATTTGAAATTAAAAATTTGAATTGCTCACCAAAAAGTTTTCGATTTTTATCATAGCTCTCCGCCAATTCTTCTTTAGTTTTGTTGAAATTTTTTGAGATTTCATCGATATTTTTTTCGGCATAACACACTCTTCTCTTATCCTCTTCGTGCAATTCTGAAATTCGAATTTTTTGGCGCCAAATTCAACAAATCTCACCCGAAAGTTTACGAATTTCATCTCGTTGCTCTTTCAATTTCTTCTCATAACCCTCCTGCTGTTTTTGATGATCCCGGTTCGCGATAGCAATAGTTAATTTAGTTCTTTCGACTTGAGCTTCCAATTGGCGGTTTTCCATGGTCAATTTTTGGATTTTTTCAAAGTCAGATGGACCATGGGTCTCTGAAAATGCTAGAAATTTTAAGACAAAATTTCAGACAAAGTTTTCATCATAATGCTTTAAAAATCAAGTTTCTAGGACAATTTTGAGCCGAGTTTAGGTCATTTGAAGTTGTGAGGTTAGAAACGCAGCGTGTCTCATTTCTCTGCGTCTCTGACCCCAAATCTTTCAAATGACCGTGATTTTGGCACAAAATCATGCTAGAAACATGATTTTGGCGCATTTTGTTCAGAAAAATTCTGTTTCAAAAATTTAATTTTTAAAAAGTTTGAACCATATTCAATATTACCACAACGTTTCTAATTGCGTTATAATCAAAGGTGTTAGTTTTTGATGAAACTTCGATTTTGACGGAACTTTGAGAAACACAGAAAAAAATGGTTGAAACGGGTCCAAACCAAAAAAATAGGGAAATTCCCAAACAATTTGCGTTTAAAAAAATCATTTTTAAATCATAGGCTAGAGACGAGAGAGAATAGTTCGAGAGAGAATAGTTTAAATCATAGGCTAGAGAAAAAATCATAGGCTAGAGACGCAGACACGCTAACTGTCTGCGTCTCTGATGTTCAATAATACATCCATAGCAGCAGAGCAAACCGTCTTGCCTGTTTTGCAACAAAAACCAAGTCTCCAGCTCAATTTTGAACTGAGTTATAGCCTCATTTGCTGCGAGGCATTGCTCGAACATCTCCGTGTACTTATCAATGTCTTTCAACGCAGAAGGAGAGTTGAATATATCTGCAAATCGCTTCAAACATGAAAATATTTCGAATGCATTGACAGGTTTGATTAAGAAGTTATTCCGTGTTCGGTTGATCGTGTTTTTAGGTAATCTGTTCTTGAAAGAACAAGATGTTTGGAACGCAAGTATCAAGGAAAAATTAAGCTCTTCTGAATTATTTCTGTCCATCTCGGGTGGTTTCAACCACAGCTTAACACACTTCCTCAAACCGATTCATCTGGGGGTGTCTGTGCCATTGATAACTATTTCTCTGATAGGGCAAAATCTGTGCATACTCTTCAACGGCTCGGGTACACTTGATTCACTCACTTTTCCTACCAAAACGACCTTCGTTGTTCCTTCAAACACGGATCCACTTGTTATCAAGTTGAAAATC